TGCCACATTGATACACCCTGTTAAATACAATTCCTGAATGCAAGCCAAGAAACAATGGTGTTTGTGTAATTGCAAGTGAGGTAGGGTGGTGGACATGGGGAAATTCTAAATAAATGGAAATTTCTGGCTTGTATCTCATAGAGTATTCAAGAAGAATCTTCTCTTAGAAGCATACGGGGGTGACGTGTCTAAGTAGAATGCAAAATTTACGAGGCTTAATAACTATAAGACATAATATGCGCACATGTCCACTGAGGCAGACTGTTACATCCTGGGAACCATTTTAGGAAAATAACAACAGACTTCTTTGAGGGAGAAAGCTACTGACCCAAAACAACATTGGGTGAATTCGGATCGGTATTTTTCCCGGGGACTTTGAGCAAGTCAATTCACTCCTCTAGACTTTAGTTTCTCCTTTTGCACAATGGGTGAGCTGGACTTTATGAATCTTTAGAGTGATTGTTTAAAGTTAGTTCCAACGTTCTGTTTTTTAATGTGATGCTATTGGGTTGAATTTTATATTCACAGCTCGAATCCTTAATAAGAGTTTCCAGGAGCAACTACTTGGGGTCGAACATCTGTGGACTCTCGATAGTCTTGAAGTTGCCCAGTCTCTGCACTATTTGGGGGTTTTTTTGTTACTCCTCAAACAGAACCAGAGAATTTCATGTGTAAGGGCCATGTTCTCTTTATTTGCTCACAGATTCTGACAAGGTAACAGCAAGAACAGGGACACTTTCTCTGGACATTCTTCATAATAAGCTCAGCAAGGATGGCTTAGGATCATTCCATTTGGAGCCTAGAATGGACTCCTATGAGCCCTTTGACCTTAAGGTTATTTTCCGTTTATTGTTGACTTTTCTAGGTGTCTACCTCCTATATGTCTCCACACTAATTTTTCCTTCATCTTTTTCCTTCCTTCCTTCCTTTTCTCTTTCTTTCTTTCTTTTTCTTTCTTTCTTTCTTTTTTCTTTCTTTCTTTTTCTTTCTTCTTTCTTTCTTTCTTTCTTTCTTCTTTCTTTCTTTCTTCTTTCTTTCTTTCTTTCTTTCTTCTTCCTTTCTTTCTTTCTTTCTCTTTCTCTCTCTTTCTTTCTTTCTTTGAAGGTGTTTCTTGGTTTGGTTTTATCCCATTTTGTTTTTCCAGTTTCCACACACTCCTGGCTTGTTCATGAAGATTATGAACTACACAATCAAGTCAACCACTTTTTTGCTATCTAGAGCAGAGTTAATATTATTCATGAATTTTATAGATCCCAAAAGACAGAGCAGACTGGGAAGGTCTATATCCTTTCCTCTTACATTTTGGCTTAAGCTAACTCATCATAGTCCAGTACTGTCTTTTCTCAACCTATTAAATTAGAATAATTTTACTGGCCTGGAGATGAAGATAGATGGTCCCTTTGGGCTTTCCCTCAAGCCCCTTATCAAGCTGACCATCATTTCCCCCTCTGAAAATGCCCAGCTGATATGGGAAAAAGAGAGGGTATTAAGCAGAAGTCTTTAAAACTAATTACTATATTCAACTATCCTCAATTAATTATTGGGCAAACTTTGGTTTCTGAGCCAATAAATTCATTCCATAGTGACTTGAACTAGCAATACAACACACATTCTGGAATATTCTTCTTCTTGGGCTTAATGAAAACTAAGCTGGAATCTCTTTGAGTCCCTGTCAGGACCCCAGGACTTAGCTCTAGGGAGAAAGTTCTAGAGTTGCCTTAAAGTAGCTAGCCTAAAGTAGATCAGGATTTAAACCCCCCACAGTGCTGATTTTTCCAGATATTATGAACCTTGAGGTCTTGCTTAATATTCCAAGGTGTGTCACCCACCTGCCAAGTGAAAGGAAGAAGGATATGTGGCCAATACTGGTCACAGCTCTGCTACTTAGTGCACCTGTGACTTGGCTCCAGTTACTCAGTCCTGAACTTTTCAGTGTGCCTGTAGGGTGTCAGGAGCACCAAGACATTTACCCTTGGCCCTTGAGGCCACACTGGACCTGAAACAAGTGTCTAGGCCTGAGGTAACAGCTTCCAGCTACAGCAGCTTCTCCACTAACACCAACACATCTTACAAATGTCATCATGTTCCATGTGACCATGTTGGGAAACAATCAGAAGACACTAAGTTCCCTTCTCCTCTTCTCTGTCTTCTTTACCTTCCTGCAAAATGGGACTGAAAATAGCATTCACTCTCAGGAATAATCCTCAGGAAAGACAGCTTAGTATCTGATTCCTTTTAAGTGGGAATACATTTGGACAATTAATGGTAGGTCAAGGGCTTCTAATTTTCAGCAGTTTTGTTGTTATTTCTGATATCGTCCCAACTTCAAGCTTCCGCAATAAGGAGTGACACATTTTCTGCCTGACCTCTTAAGGGGCAACACTGGGGTTCAGCAGGGATCCAGGGCAATGCCTCATCGGAGGCATAGGTACTCAGGAGGGAAAAGAGATGCAGGCTCAGTCTGCTGAAAACTGTTCTTCTCCCCAGACAAGCATGCATTTCAGTGGAGCAGAAAAAGCAAATGACCATTGGCACCTGCCCTACACAGTCACTGACTCCCCATAACATCTGGGGATCATTAATTCATGTCTCTGTACCCGAGAGGCCATAGTGGATGTGTGAAGGCAAATGTAAAGAAAATGCTCTTTTCCATTCAGTTTGGTCATCATTTGGACTTTGGGAAATTTCCTGAATGAGACCAGCTGACTCTCAGGTTCCTATTTCAGAGCTACATTTGGTCCTAGCAGCTAATCTGCCACTAGATCTTGTGCATTCTGCCTCGTAGGAATCTCCTAATGGTTTCCCTGGCACTGGGCTTACCCCATCCCAATCCACCTTGCACTTTGTAAACAAAGCAACCTTTCTAAAATGTAAATATCATCTTACATGGTCTCCCACAACCTTCGAGATACTGCCCGAGCTCCTCAGCACCCCACACAAGGTCCCTTCTCACACGCACTCTCTCTGCAACTTCTCCTGTGTCATCTTTCCTCACCCCTCCCCATGCCACCCGCCGCCCCCCCACGCCAGCTTGGTATTCCTTGTATCTGCTGCTCCTATGCTCTCTCATGACTCTGTATTTTTGTAAGTGTTATTTTCCTGTTCTGGAATGCCTTTCCTCCTGCCCCTAGCCGGCCCCATCCTGCCCACCAAGGGATTGAGGATCATGCCTCCATAAGGACTTCTTCAGGCAAAGTAGGATGTGCATGCAGTGATTATGTCATGACTACATTACTGTGTAGCAGTCCCCATTCATCATCGTATGTATCCTGCTGGAGCATAATCACCTGTTCCCATGTATGTACCCCCTCAACTGTAAGTGCCGTGAGAACCGGGGCTGTTCAGTAATTTCCCAGGACCTAGCACAGTTCCCACAACATCATGGGGGCTCATTATAAGCTTGTTGAAAGGCAAATGAGGAGAAAAACCTGTATGTGTAATAATAACAGCATTAATGAGGACAATATCAAAGAGAAGAAAGGCAATAGTCATCATTAGTATCTTAAATGGTAGAAGCAAGAGGGGTGAGGTTTGCGTCAAACTCAGGGTCAACCTGCTGAGACAGATAAGCAATCCCGGTGGAAACTTGACGAGAAGGAATTAGGAAGCATTGAATCCACAGAAGTCACGGGGCAGGTAAAAGGCAAAGCATGGGAGTCAAAGCTGAATCTTTGGAAAATCACTGAGCTGTGAAAAGGTCCAGGGTAGATTTGTAACCTAGCATAGAAAAATGAATTGTTGAGAACAGGAAAGTGACATTCATGAGAAATTCTGAGTTTTGACTCTGCAGAGCAAAGCATTCCTGGAAATTACAGTATCTTATACATTAAATTAAAAAAAAATCAGAGGACACCAAACGCCACCAAAGCTCCAAGAACCATTCACAAGGAATCCCTACTGTGCTTCTGACAAGTCCAGCCCTGCCCCTAAACAGACCTGGAGTGCTTCCTTACACAGAAGAAAATCCATCTTCATGCCTTGAAGTATTAAAAAAAAAAAGTTTTTTTTCTGATGGCTCACACCTTCTCAGATACCCCTACCTCACTCTGCTTTGAAAAACTGAAGCTGACTGGGTAAGGCTAACACTGTCACAAAACAGCATAGAGCAAGACAAGGCCAGCCAAGCCCATGACTGAAGGGCTCCCACTGGCAGACCTGGATAAATTCTCGTCTAAAATGGCCTCCTTACCACAATCACCATGTTTTGCTCTATTTTGTACGCCTAACTAAAGAAAAAGAAAATTATTTTCTCAAAGCTTGCCTATTGCAAAAGACAAACTTCTTTCGAGCAACTCTGCCTAGAATCTATGCGACAGAGATGTTGGAAGAAGGGGGCTCCATGCCTGTTCACTCCTCGGCTCATATAAAGCAGAGCATTAGGGAAACGGTTGCCACCCCCTGCTATAGAGCATTTGTCACAGCAGAAATTTAGGGAGCTGAGCAAATGCTGAGAAATCCAAATGCATTCATTCACAATCAGGCAATGTTTCATCAAAGGAAGGAGAGGCATTTGGGGGAAGGTAAGCAAAATGTCTTACCAACACAATTCACCCAGATAAGCCTTGCGCCTTTTCCATAATAGACCTTATTAGCATTTTATCCCTGCCTTCATGATGGAGAAGCTCTGAGGGAGGTCTTGCTATTATGCAAGGCCCTGCCACCATGGGAAGGATGCTATCAGGGAGAGGAGCCCTGCACATATCTCTGCCACCAAGAAGGGAATACCATGGAACCAGGCACAGTGGGACCCGAGACCTCTGCAATGCTCCAGCTCTGGGCTGAGAAATGGCCAAAGGATGGTGGGATGAAGCTCACAGCTTGTAATCCATGTACGATCAGCAGATCAAGAGCATCAAGTGAGCAAGTTAAAAACACACTTCTAACCCCCCAGGAGTGGTGGATAGTCTGTCTAGATTTGAGGTACGGAAAAGAGGTTGAATTTCCCCCGAAATTAACTTCTTTTTTCTACAAAGAGACCATGCGGCATTTCTCCCCCTTACCTCATGGATTGCCAGAGTAAGTGTAGAGACAAAATCTCAATTTCTTGGTCCCCAAGAAAGCAGCTGGATCCTTGATGTGGGCAAGACCTTGCACCTCTGGTCCAAGAGTTTGGGTATCCCAGGTGAGGGTGCTGAGACCCTGTTGGTTTTTACAAGTCTGTGGGTCAGCTCAGACCGGCTACCAACTCATCTGTATGCAACAGCTCTCAAAGAACATAGTTTACTTTAGAACTGGATCCAACAAGAGTAGGCGTGGCAGTGGAATGAGCTAGATACACCAGAGGTGTTGAGCTGCCAGGGCTAATTAAGAAAGATTTATTTATGGAGTCGTGGCTTGGAACCAGAAGGCCAGTTTGCTCAACCTGACAGTGTCCCAAGTCAAATGCATGAGGTTGCACTCATAGCCACATAGGCTAGGTGCCCCCAAGTTGGGCATTGGGGGTCCCCAAGCAGCCCCTCCAAAGTTTTTCTTCTCAGTGACTGACTCAGTGACCACAAAAGGTCAGGCTGCCCTGACCTTCTCTTGACCATTCATGCGTCTCCCTGGTCCCAGCACAATGTAGAGCTTTGTAGCAGGGACTTTACAGAACAGACTGGGAGCAACCCGCTGCACTCCCAACTGTCACCTGGGGACAAATTCCTAGATCCTCACCCTCTGGAGTCCATGGTGGGGGTTGAGATAATGTATGTGATGCAGTTGGCATTGAGTAAACACTCATGAAAGCCAACATACCCCAAGCATCACTTTTCTTTCCCCCTTCCCACCCCAAACCCTAGGGGCCCGCCTCCCTCTAGTCTATCCTGAGGGAGAGGAGCTCTTATCTTACCCTCTTGAGATGCTCTCCGACTGTTCCTCCTTGTCGTGGTGTCCTCCATGGACTGCCATTCACTTCACTGCTGGTCACGCCCAGGAGCATCCAAAAACAGTCTCCTTGATGAGCTGTCACTTTGTTTCTATGGAGTGGTTGGGGGGGTTGGTGCAGGATATGGGCAGGCCACACAACCCTTCACTGTCTGCCCCCCTCTTCTTCAATCAACACCACGCTAGATGGTATGAGGTTTCAGACTTTACTCAAGCCTCAGTGATTAAAGGAACAGAAGACACTGGAGAGCAGCCCCGTAGTCTGGAGGCCACAGGCCCGGGATTCTGACACCCCTCAATTATACAACAGAGTTAATGCATTGTGATTTTCATAGGGAGGATAAAGTGGAAATGAATGCATAATCACATGGAAAAAGGAAATGCTCTTTTCAAACACATCTAAGTATAATCAGTTGTTACACTAAATAGAGAAGAATAGCAGTTTATAGTATAGCATTTCCCAGGTGAAGTTCGATGATAAGAGACCTATTCTAGGGAGCAACACCACAGGAAGAGAACAAAAGGAGAGATTCAAAGCTCATGCTAAATATGACTTTTCCCCTTCACAGAAGGCCTCCTGTGGGCACGCCAGTTCCCACCCTCGCTCCTCTGTCCCTAGGTTCACCCCTTTCTCCAAAAGTACCCCTTTCTCAATCCTCAGCTGTGTGGTCCTCTACCTGCTTTTCCAGGGATCCAAACCCCACCTGCAGGATAACCTCCCCACACCCAGTTCGCCCCCAGAGCAGTGCATTTCCTCAAGTCTTGGTGTGGGGGCCTTCAGAAAGCACCCTGCAGACCTCCAAGTTCAGGGAGAAGGGGTGTCCAAGTCCCACGGACAGAGCACAGCACCCACCAGGAAGGCCACTACTGGCAGAGGGGACTCCTCTGAGAAATTTTGTGTGGCCCTTTAGAACCTTCCTTAAACTCCAGGACAGGCTAGGATGCTTCAGTCTTGCCTCCCTCTCTCTTTCAGTCAGAGTCAACCTTGAATTTCCTCCAGTGGCTCTCCTGGCTCCCTTCCTATTTTCCCTCCCTTAGGTGTTTCCCCAGATAAGATCTTTGCACCATGAATCCTGTCTTGGTGCCTCTCCTCCGAGGCCCCGGGCTGTCACCTGCTCTTCCGCCAGGATGGACGCTCTCAGGGGGCTCTAACTCTCAGAGACACTGGGGTGGCACAGGACAATTCAGGAAAAGGCTTTTCTGATCCAATTTCCAAAGCAGGGGCCCATGTTCTGAGTCTGAGTGTGAGTTGCGGGCATGCCTTTTATTCCCCAATTATCCACCAGACGACTGGAAATACCCATACGTACAAACAGGCACCTCTCAAACGTAAATATTAATTCTTGATGACAGTACACAATAAAACCCCAAATGAGGAAAAGAAATGGTTTCTTAAGTGCCTTATTCACTTGCAAGGCAAGCACTTCCTGCACAAAGAAGCCAGAATGTCTTATTATTATGCAGACCAGGTAATTATCTTACCTCCACCCCCCCACCACCCAGTGCAGAGGGCCCCTTGGGACCCAAGGGGAAGGAGAAAGAAGCCGTTGCTAAGCAACAGAGAGGGAAGGGCTGATGTGTTCTTCCATTTGCACGAATCTTGGTTATAAGATGCAAGTGAAGATGTTTGACCTGATGGAATGCTGCATGTCCCGTGAAAGCAATGTGATTCATTTTCTCAGTCTGTCCTCCCACCCACGGTCTTCTTGGAGAAATTCTGCTGCCTGCTTCCCATTCTGCTGCTTCTCCCACCTCTGCACTCACAGAGAAGGTCCTCGGCAGTCTGGCGGTCTGTGCCTCTGGACACTGCCTCTCCTTCTGCCCTGGCTCCATGCGGTGGGCTGTGCCAACCCTCTGGTGTTCACCAGCATTTCCTCCTCGAGCAACCTGGAACCTCCTGACTTCCGCACCTGAGCTGGAGGCCCAGAGTCCATGGAGTGGTTTTTCTTTTTTCTTTTCCTTAAAGAGATTTGGAACATTTCAAAGATATGATTCTACTTATGACTAATATTCCAACAGGAGCAATTTGGAGAGATAATTGGTCTTTAGAGGGGCCTGTCTGATTTAGGGGAAGGCAGGTCATCCCATTCACCCAACAAAGGGTAGCCCCTGAAAAGGTCTGAGAGGCAAGAAGCCTGGGGCACAGAGCGGACAGCAGGGAAAGCAGGCAGGACTCTGCAATGCGGAACCACGTTCGGGGGCCCGGGAGTGGGCACGTGTGGGTAACGGAGGTGAGAGGAACAACACTGTTAAGGCAAGCCCTTCCTGGTCTGAACAGAGGAAGGGGGGAACCCAGCATGGACTGAACTCCCAGTCTGCGTGGAGTGCTTTGCCCACACCAGCTCAATTCATCCCAGCAGCCTTTGGGATAGGCATTATTTTATTTTATTTTTATTTTGTATTTTTTTAAGATTTTATTTATTCATTTGATAGAGGGAGAACACAGCAGGGGGTGGGCAGAAGGAAAGGCAGAAGCAGACCCCCTGCTGAGCAGGGAGCCTGACATAGGACTCGATTCCACGACTCTGAGATCATGACCTGAGCAAAGGCAGACGCTTAACCAGCTGAGCCACCCAGGCGCCCTGGAGATAGGCATTATTTTAAACAGTGTACCAATGGAGCAGTAAAGACACTCGTCTTTGGGTACACATTTAGTATGTGACCAAGCTGGGGGGTAAATTCAGGCTGACCTGTGATGCATAAGCTCCTCCCAACCATTACCTCCCTGAGGGACTGTCTACCAGGTGGACACTCTTTCCCCATGGGAGGAAACAGAGGTTTGGGGCATTGTCCAGCCTCTAGTTAGTTCAAGAGCAGTTCTTGTTATGCCCTTGAAATGAACCCAACATTGTATGTCAGCTATACTTCCATTAAAAGAGAAAAAAAGCAGTTCTAACTGTACACTTTCTGGCACAGTGTATGTTCTTCACAAAGCACTGACCACCTCATTTGGGAATCAGGAAAAGAAATTAAAAAGAATTTTAAGATGAAAATATGGTAGATTAAGCAAATGTTTATTTTTGCTCCTTCTTGAACTCAACAAAAATGAGAGTCAAGGAATTTTTTTTTAAGATTTTATTTATTCATTTGAGAGAGAGAGAGAGAGAGAGAGAAAGCACAAGCGGGGCAGAGACAGAGGGAGAAGCAGACTCCCCGCTGAGCTGGGAGCGGGACCCAGGGCTCGGAGATCATGACCTGAGCCGAAGGCAGATGATTAAACATCTGAGTCACCCAGGCACCCTCAAGGAATTTAAAAATGTAAAGATCTACAAAGGCAAAGAGAACAAGAAAGCAGACAGTCAAGGCATTCTTACAACATTCAGGAAGATGGAGAGCAAATGAATGGGGCAGAGCAGGGAGGGCTGACCCCAAGTGCTGCTGAGGGAGCTGAGGGAGAAGTCAGCAAGAAGCCAGCTGCAAGCTCCCAGAGCTCAGCAGTGGGATAGCCCAGCGAGATCTCAAGCAGGGCCGATGTGTGGGCTACAAACAGGAAAATTGGTTGGCAGTCCTTATAGAAAGCAGATTCTCCAGCCTGGACTTTGAAGTTGCCCATGGAGAAGAGCAGAGAGTGTGGACTTGGGTTCCTCAAATGTAGCTGAGGGCAGGGGTGAAGCATGGAACTGGAAAGAGAAGGGGAGTGGTGTGGAAATCTGCCTGCTGACTGGGAGACCCGTGCCCCCTTCAGGCCGCACCTGGCGGCCACCACGCAGGAGAAGCAGAGTTCTCTCTAGGAGAACACAATGGGCTGAGAGGAAGGGTCACCAGGACTGACAACCTGCGGGTCACTCAAGCTGCAGGGTCTATCCCAGCCCCCTCCCTCACAGCTGTGAGCTTGTGAGCACCCCTCTTCAATGTCAATAGGCCACCAGACGTTTGAGGAAAGGCTCAAACACGAAAGAGAAAGATCAAGACAAGACAGAAAGGGCACCTGGAGAGATAAAATAGGGAGCAAAATAAATGTCTAAAACCCCCGCTTAGCTCCAGAGAGGAAGAACTATATTGCAGACATGAAACAAGAACGGGAAGCTAGATCTTTTGACTATCGCATGCCAAACAAGAATGCACCTGCAACAAATTTTGCAGGACAGGTGTCAGAAGCTAATGAGAAAATCCCAGAGAGTATAGCGGAGCACCCCCCCCCCGCACTTTTTTAAGGTTTTTATTTATTTATTTGACAGAGAGAGAGCACGAGCAGGCGGAGCGGCAGGCAGAGGGAGAAGCAGGCTCCCCGCTGAGCCAGGAGCCCGATGTGGGGCTCAATCCCAGGACCCTGGGATCATGACCTGAAGCTGAAGGCAGATGCTTAAAAGACTGAGCCACCCAGGCACCCCTAGCAGAG